GGGGGTTCCCGGGGCTGAGACACGGGGGGAGGGGGGGGGCCCAGCCCCCCCTGACCCGCTGTCCCCGCAGATGTCCGGTGACAAAGGCATCTCTGCCTTCCCCGAGTCCGACAACCTCTTCAAGTGGATCGGGACCATCGACGGTGCCGCCGGCACGGTGAGCAGCTTGGGTCCACCCTGGTCACCCCGGGGTGACAGTGGTCTCAGTCCTCCCTCCCCCCACCACCCTCTTCAATCTGGGGTCTCCCCTGGGGCTGGGGCTGCCTGTTGTCCCCCCCTTCCTGTGCTGTGTCCCCCCTCCTGTCGCTGACTCCTGCCCCCAGGCCTACGAGGAGCTGCGGTACAAGCTGTCGCTGGAGTTCCCCAGCGGGTACCCCTACACCGCGCCCACCGTGCGGTTCCTGACGCCCTGCTACCACCCCAACGTCGACACCCAGGGCAACATCTGCCTGGACATCCTCAAGGACAAGTGGTCGGCCCTCTACGACGTCCGCACCATCCTGCTCTCCATCCAGAGCCTGCTGGCAGGTGGGTCCCATGGCAATGCCGCGGTGGGGTGCTGGGGGCAGAGGGGGGAGGACAGCGGTGGGGTGCGGGACTTGGTGGGGGTCCAAGCCACCCCACCCACTGACCCAGCCCTCTGTCCCCAGAGCCAAACATCGAGAGCCCCCTGAACACACACGCTGCCGAGCTCTGGAGGAACCAAACTGGTGAGTGGCTGGGGTGGAAGCCCCCCATCTCGCTCTCTCTGGGGTGGGCAGCCGTGCAGACCCCCAATCCTGCTGTCTGCCTGGTCCCACGGCTGCCCCAGGACCCCCAACCCCATGTCCCCCCTCTCTCCTCAGCCTACAAGAAGTACGTGCGGGAGACATACGCCAAGCAGGCCAAGAGCCAGGAAACCTGACCCACGCCACCTCTCCCCGTCATCCTTGGGTCCCTGCCTGCTCCCTCTCCGGCCGCTTCCCCCGGCTTTCTGTATCATAGGCTGTTTTTAAATTAATTTTGCAGTCCGAGCTACGGTTAATGTATAAATAAATGCATGCTTATAACTTTTATTCTAGGGGTCTTGTTGCAGTCTGGCACACCGTGAGTGTCCGGGGTACCTTCTTTTGGTCAACCCAGCCCTGGCCCCTCTGCAAGCGTGGGCAGGAAGGGAGGGACACCCACCCCGGTGGGATAACAGGGGCTTTATTTAACACTTAAGGTGCCAAGAGCTCATCTTATTCCCTCCACCAGGTGAGGGCAGCCCCCCAGCCTCACCTGCCCACACCAGGGGGGACACAGGGCTCTGTCCCCTGCTCCATGGTGCCTGAGTGGGCATGGAGGGTGACAGCCCTGCCACCTCCTTTCCCACCCCCCAGTCAGAGGACCCTGCAGCAGTGCCCAGCGCGAGCGGTGCCAGCTGTGGGTGCTGCGGTGCCACCGGTCCCCCCTGGCTGGGTGGGCTCCACCGTCCACAGCGGGATGTTGGCTCCGCTCTCCATCTCTGCCAGCGTGGCCCTCACCTGCTCGATCTCCTCCTCCAGGCACAGGGTGGTTGGGGGCTGCGCAGGACCCCCCCCTCGCCGGCTCCCCTTGCGGCTGGGTGGCCCCCGGCCCCCTAATCCGGTGCGCAGTGGAGCTGTGCCACCCCCTTGCAGGGAGAAGAGCTGGCAGAGGTGGTGGGCTCGGTGCAGGTCCTGCAGGAAGAGCTCCAGGGCGGAGAGGAAGAGCACCCACAGCCGCTCCAGCTCCCGCTGCTCCTCGGGGCTCACCGGTGCCTGCCGCAGCCCCGCCAGCAGCGCCTTCCGCAGCCCTGTGGGACAGGGGACACTGAGCTGGGGTGACCCTGGAACCCCCTCCACCAACTCCAGGGTTGGGGGGGGAGCACTGTGACCGCTACCCACCTCCCCCAGCCCACTCCTTACCGGTGCTGAGCTCACGGGCCTCCGCGCTCCTCCTGCGCCGCTCCTCCCGCAGCCGGGGGCCATCAGCGCTGCCCCCCAACTGCAGCACCAGCTGCCGGTGCCCGGCCGTGGCCTTGCAGAGGGCAGCCTGGGTGGCTGCACATGTCCCCGCTGCCCCTCGTGCACGGCACACATCTGCTCTCCCAGGAGCCATCCTGTCCCCTGAGGGCAGAGCTGGGGACCTTCTGTGTTGACCCCCCAGCTCTCTTGGGGGGACTCGGATCCCCCCCCAATGCCTCAGCACTGAGCCTCAGGGATGCAGTGGGCTCTGAGCCCCTGTCCCTGTGTCCTGCTAGCTGCACGGCGACAGTCCCACTGTCCCAGTGTGTGTTGGCTGTGCCCCAGCCTGAGGAGTGTACCCCCCTTCTGTCCCCCCCTACCAGCTGGAAAGGCTGCAGAGAGGAGGGGGTCCCCAGGGAGCAGTGATGCACGGCGGGTTGGCACAGTCTGTCCCAGCGCAGAGGCTCCAGCATCGCCTTGACTCTGCAGGGAGGGGGCTGGTACCCCCCACCACCATGTAGCCAGGTCCTCTGCACCCTTCTGGGTGGGACACGGGGGTCTTGGTGCAGGGGAGGTGGTGGTGGCTCCCCAAGATGTCCCTGTGGTCCCACAGCCCTGCCCTGGAGAGGGTAGGAGCTGCCCCCTCTCCCCCCCCGGGGCTCCTGGAGCCCTGTTTCCTGCTGGGGCCACGCTCCCTCTCCCGCTGGCGTGTGAACCGGCTGTTCCGCATGGAAAATCTGAGCTCAGCGCTGGCTCCTGCCCAGCAGCCCGTGGGAACCACTGCCCCCGCACCCCCCCACTCCCCCCGACACGACACCATGGGTGGGCCTGACCCTCACAAAGCACCCATCCAGACAAATCCCCCCTCCCTTGGTGAGCAGTTGCAGGGAGAACGGTGCTGCATCCCCCTCCCCCCCATGCAAACCCAGTGAAGTTCTGCACCAGCAGCTCAAGCCTTTCCCCTTTTATTGAGGCTCAGACCGAAACCACACGCAACAGACGGGAGGAAAGGCTCGGCCGCCGGCAGCGGGGTGAGATGGGTGCCCCTGCGCAGGGCAGGGGGGTCCCAGCCCGCACGGGTGGCCGGGGACCGGGCGCTGCGGAGCTGCTGCTCCCTGGGCAGCGGTGGAGCAGGGCTGGGCGCAGCGGCCGGCCCGAGGAATGTCTGGTCCCTTACTGCACACCCTCCATCATCTTCAGGAACTCTGCAAGAGAGCAGCACCCTCAGCCCGTGGCCATGCCTGGGGCGAGCAGCGCGGGCATTTTGCCAGGGCATCTGCAGGATGAGGGACAGGGCCATCGCTCACCATCAAAGTCAATGCGGCCATCATTGTTCTTGTCCGAGTCCTTCATCATGTCCTCTATGTCCTCATCTGTGACAGGCTCCCCGGTAGCCCTCAGGATCTCCCCCAGCTCCTCGATGTCGATGAACCCATCCGCGTTCCTGCAGGAGGGTGAGGGCAGGATGAGGCCCCGCTCATCCCCACGGTCAGAACAGGCAGGCATCACCCCCCCACTCACCGGTCGAAGATGCGGAAGCAGTTGGCCAACTCCTCCTCAGACTTGCCCTTGGCATCCTCTTTCATCTGGCGCACCATCATGACCAAGAACTCCTCAAAGTCGATGGTACCGCTGCCTGCAGGTAGGAAGGGGAGCGTGGGTCAGGCTGTGATCCCGCTGCCCCACCGCCCGCCACCCACCACCGAGGGCTGCTCACCATCCTCGTCCACCTCCTCTATGATGGCATCCAACTCCTCTTTGGTGGGGTTCTGGCCCAGCATCCTCATCACCGTCCCCAACTCCTTGGTGCTGATGTCCCCGCCACCGTCCGCATCAAACATGTCGAAGGCGGCCTTGAACTCTGCGGGGAAGGGAGTCAGGTCCGAGCAGCACACGGGATGGGGCCATGGCAGCAGGATGGAGCCTGGCCCCAAGCCTTGGCAGGGTCTGGCCCCTCTCCCCACCGCCCCCACGCTCACCCGCAATCATCTCCTCGCTGAGGAAGGCGCGGGCTTCAGCCTGCTGGTCCGTCTGCAAGGCAAGGGAGCGGGGTCACCATGGCCACCCACATCATGCCAGGAACCCCCTCACATGGCGTGGAGGCGATGGCACAGAGGTGCTGGGAGATGCTTCTGCCCAGCAGCAGGATGATGCTCTGCCCAACTGAGCCACATCCCCCAGCAATCCCCACAGCTCTGGTGCCACCCGGGCACCTGTGAGGATGGTGAGCTGTGGGGAGCAGCCTGCCCAGGGCCCCCCCGCCAGTTGGGGGTTCCATGACGCAGGGGCCATGGTCCCTGTATACAGCCTTGGCATCCCAGGCATGCAGCGCTATTTTAGGGATCTCCTCAGCTCCCCTTATAGGGAGCAGAGGGGCCACGGGCACCTGTCGGCCCCGATTGAGTTTCTCCTGGAGGCGCAGGCCACCGGCGGCGACGCCGTGTCGCATGACCCAGCGCTCGGCTTTCAGCCACTCCCTGCCACCGCCGCCTCCACGCAGCCCCGAGCTCCAGCCAGGGCTGATCCAGCGTCCCCAGACGCCCACACACCTTGGGCACCAGCACAGTACCCCCCAGGCACATCCTGCAGGGACCCTGCACCACCCCAACACCTCCCTGCCCTCTCCCACCATGGTCAGCCAGGCCCCAGGGACCATCTCCCCATCACCATCCGTGGAGGCACCTCGGTAGTCCAGATCCCCCAGATGTGTGAGGTTCCCCTGGGAATGTGCAGCGCCCACCACCTCCTGCCCTGACAGGTCTCGCCCCGGTACACAGCTCACAGCACACGATACACCACAAGTGGCACACGACAGCATGGAGGTTCTTACCATTGAAGCCATTTCTGCTGCTTCCCTCCCCTAGGGAGTCACCACCTCCTGCAGCAGAAGCCCCCAGAAGCTCCCTGGAGACCCTGGCACCCCAATTTGTAGCTTCCCTGCTGCCCGGCGTGCCCCCAGCCGCTGGCCCCCAGGTCCCGGCAGCCTATCAGCTCCCCGGTGGAAATCCTGCCCCGCTCATTGGCAACAGGTGCATTTTACCTAATTTAGCCAAAGCGTTATTGGCCAAGAGCTGGGGATTAAACGTGGGTCTGAAGCCGGGATAGAAATTCAAGCCCTCTGGGGAGGGACACTGGAGCCTTGGCAGGAGGGTGGTTCTATCCCTCCCGCCCCCTGCAGCAAGGAGGGGGTTAAAAATAGCCCCAGAGCCACCAGCATCACCCAGACCTGGGGGCCAGGGCTTCCCCCTGCACCAAGCTGTCTGCCCCAGTGCTGTGGGCACGGACCACCACCAGCCCCCCTGTCGAACCCACAGCCCTGCCTGGGGCTGGCTCCCAGCCTGGCAATGGTCTCCCCTGGTGTGGCATCCCCTCCCTCACTCCCACAAGACCCTGGGGGGCTCCAGCCTCACCCTGTGACCTCCAGCCCCCTCCCTTCACCCCCATTTTCTGCTCGGGTGGGCCAGGGCAGAGCCACATTTCAGCACCCCCACCCCAGATGAGGAAGGGACCCCCAGTGTGAAGCCCCCGAGGGGGTGTGGAGCATCCTCACCCCTTCAGTACGGGGTCCCTGGCACCGTTGGCACCCATATCCCAGATCCGGAAAGGGCCCTGTCTCTCCGTGCTGTCGGGAGAGTGGGAAATCTGCCCAGGTGCCTCCTCGAAGGCTCTGCCCTCACACACCGCAGCCCATGCCAGCCACATTTGCCAGGGTCCAGCCAGGGCTAGTGGCTTTGAGGATGTGCTGGCCAAGTGGACCATGGCCCACAATGCCCCTGAGGGGGTTGCACAGGGGCTTGGTGCTGCAGCAGGGTCAGGCTGGCAGCACCCTGTCCCGCAAGATCCCAGCATCAGGAACATCCAAGAAGTTCCCTGACACCTGTTTTTGCCGGGACCCCCATTCCCCAGGAGGGAGCTGGGGACAGGACAGCCCTCCCCAAGCATCCCACCCTGCCCAGCAGCCAGGGAGGAAGTGATTTGGGATGTTTTGGGAGCCTCGAGCACTGGGTGCGGAAGCCCCCACAGACCCGCCTGCGCCCCGGGGAGTGCAGGGATCCCCATCGGAGCCCGGGCAGGGTGCGGGGCGCTGGAGCAGGGAGCAGTGGGCGAGCAAAGGCAGAGCGATGGCAGCAGCTGGGCTGGTTCCTCGATATTTATTAATAGACATTCCCAAGAAAGCGACGAGGAGGGAGCGGGCACGGTCCTAAATAAGGCAGGGCGAGCGCCGGGGGTGCAGCCCAGCTGCCCTGGGGGCGTGTGGCGAGGCCAACTGGGGCAAGGGTGGCGGGGTGCCAGGGTAGCCCAGGGGGACGTCCTGCAGGGATGGGGAGCCTGGGTGTGGGGTACCGGGGTATTGGGGTACTGGGATACGGGGGTACTGGGGTATCAGGAGCTCAGGACCCCAGGGTGCGGGGCTCCTGTGGCCCCAGGCAGGGGGACCAAGGACCCTGCCAGGACAGCCCCGGGGCTGGCAGCGGAGGGTAGGGGCTGCGGGCAGACCTGCCATCACCCGTACCGGGCCGTGCCAGGCAGCGCCGGGCCGTACCGATCCCGGCCGTGCGCCGCCGTCCCCGCCGCCGCGATCCGGGTTCCCGGCGGAGGCGGAGCCGCGCAGGGAGGATCCCGGGACGAGCCGCGGCGGAGCAGCCATCGCTCGGCACCGCCCGGCTCGGCAGGGCCCGGGCCAGCACGGTACGGACAGGGCCAGCACCGCCCGCAGCGGGGACGGGGCCGCACCGGGACGGGGCGGGGGCGGGCTGGGGGGTGAGGGAGGGGGTACCCCGGGGCTGCACCGGGGGACGGAGGTTGTCCCAAGGCCGGGGTGTCCCGGGGACGGGCTGTCCCAGGCCGGGCCCGTGAGGTGTCCTCGGTTGCCGGTGCCGTGGTGGGCAGCACAGGGCGGTACGGGCGGGCAGCCCCTGGCCCCCTGCCCATCCCACCCGGTTGGGGCAACCGGGTTTGACCAGCGTTTTGGCAGCTGGGCCGGACGGGATGGCCGCCCGCATCCTGCACCGCCTGCGGCACGCACTGGCCGGTGAAGGCGGCCGGGAGGAAAGGGTGCGTGGCGGCTCCGAGGCCGAAGAGTTCCCGGAGAGCTCGGAGCTGGAGGACGACACGGAGGGGCTGTCGACGCGCCTCAGCGGCACCCTGAGCTTCACCAGCCAGGAGGAGGAGGAAGAAGACGAGGAGAACGAAGAGGAGGAGGGTGCTGGAGAGGAGCTGGGGGAGCCACCGCAGGCGACGGGGGCGGCAGCGGGTGCGGAGGACGGAGGCAGGTGCTGGGGACGATGTGCTGGGGGGAGGAGTGGCTGGGGAAGCAGCACCCTGGGGGGAGACCCAAGTAATGGTGGGTGCCGGTGGCCTGGAGAAGGGGTGCTGGGAGAGCCCGGTCCCTGTGGTGGGGGGGGCTGACACCCCTCTCCCTGGCACAGAGTGGGGTCCCGCGGCGGAGCGCCCCGGCAGCAGCCTGCTGACCCGGCAACTGCAGGAGCTGTGGAGGAAGTCGCGGGGCAGCCTGGCACCCCAGCGGCTGCTCTTCGAGGTCACCAGCGCCAGCGTGGTCAGCGATCGCTCCTCCAAGTACGTGGTGAGTGAGCCCACCGGGGCTTGGGGGGAGAAAGGGGGGGCGTGATGAGGGTGCAGGGGTGGGCGCGGGTCCTGCTCCCTCCCAGGGTAGGGCTCCCACGGGGCTGGCGCTTATTTCTCTCTGTCTTTCCCCGTGCTGCTCGGATGGTGCTGGCGGCTCAGATGAGCCTCAGGTAATTATCGCCGACGGGTGCTGCGGCTGTGGCAGCCCAACCTGCTCCCTCCTGCCTGGGCAAACCCCCCTCCCTCCCTCCCGGCAGCCCCTCCGCAGCCGTGTGCCCGGCTCTGCCCGCTCCCGTGGGAGCAGCGTGCCCGTGGCACCGCCCTGACGCCTGGGTTCCCCCCCCCTGCAGCTCTACACCATCTACCTGATCCGCTCCGGCCGGTTCGACAAGGCCCCCGCCGCCATCACCCGGCGCTACTCGGACTTCGAGCGGCTGAACCGCCGCCTGCGCTGCCGCTTCGGCGTCGACATGGCCGGCATCGCCTTCCCCAGGAAGAGGCTGCGCCGGAATTTCACCGCCGAGACCATCGCCAAGAGAAGCCGAGCCTTCGAGCAGTTCCTGTCCCACCTGCACTCCATCCCCGAGATCCGCCGCTCCCCCGAGTTCCTCGAGTTCTTCTTCCTGCAGGACCTGCGAACTGCCCAGCGCCTGACCTGCACCGGGATGTACCGCGAGGCCCTGGCCACCTGGGCCAACGCCTACCGGCTGCAGGACCGGCTGGGGGTCTGCAGCTCCGGCCGCTTCCTCCTGACGCTGGCCGGGCTGGCTGTCTGCCACCAGGAGCTGGATGAGCTCGGGGAGGCCCACGGTTGCTGCGAGCAGGCGCTGCAGCTGCTGGAAGCCCAAGGTAGCCACCCGCTGCTGGGGCCCTTCCTACAGGCCCACGTCCACCTGGCCTGGAAGGTGGGCAAGGACAAGCGGCGCTCGGAAGCCCGGCTGCAGGACCTGCGGGAGGCCGGGCCGCCCCTGCATCAGCAGCCCACCCTGAAGGAGTGTTTGATCAAGGAGCCTCTGGAGTGAGTGTCCCCACGCTGGCAGGAGGGCAGGGGGTCCCGTGGGGCTCGTGGCCGGGGAGGGGAGCGAGGGCGATGCTGCAGGTGGGGATGGGGCAGGGAGGCAGTGCTGGATCCCGCCGGCAGCACGGCCCACACCCCGGAGCTGCCTTGAAAATGCACTTTTTTTGTGTGGTTAGTCCGTCCCGTGGGGCCGGGTGTTCATGGGTGCTCATCACCCACACCAGCACTGCCGGGAGCTGGCTCCCCCACTGCGAGGGGGCTTCCAGAGTGGACGGGACTTTAGCTGGGACATACTGGCACTACATAAGGGAACGGGAAGGCCGCTGGCAGGGTCCGGGGCTCTTGCCAGGAACTTCCCATAAAACTTCTATAATAAAAATGGCTTTATTTAATAAAGTCTTGGTAGGAAGAAGAGCAGGGCGCCTGCTATGTCTGTTCAGCTTCGCTTCCCCCCCAGGGCGCCATCAGTGGGAAGCATCAAGCCACCTACGATGGGGCTGGAGCTGCCTCATCCCTCAGCTCCCGGGGGCTGGCTCCCCTCACAAGCCCATCCTGGAGGAGGAGACCATGGGTGAGCAGAAGTAGCGACTGGCAAGTGCTGGGGACACAAGGAGGGCAGGAGAAGTGAGAAAGGGAAGCCACATGAGCCGCAGTAGCACTTTCCCCTCCTGTGACCCAGCCTGCTGCGGGGGCAGAGCTGTCCTGTCCTGCCACTGCCGCCGGCGCCGCCTGCCCTTCCCCTGCCAGGAGAGGTTCCCTCGGGTGAGCACAGTCACAGGGGCCAAGGGGACAAACTCCAGGTGACAGACCCCAGCTGTTCACGTGATGGCTTTATTTAAGGCAGGTTGAGGGTGGCTGATTGTAGTGTGCAGTTATGTGCTGTGCAGCTGGCAGTCGGTCACAGCAGATGCCTCTGTGGGTCCCCATCCCTGCAGCGCTGGATCCAGCCCGGTCTTCAAGGCTCCTTCCTGCTGCCGCCCGGGATCCCGCCTTGCCCACATCTGCTTTGGTCCCAGGGTTCCTCCTCGGCGTGCTTCAGCCTCAGCCCATGGGGGTTCCTCAGCTAGAGCTTGCTCTGGGTTGGCGTTTGTTCCACCCTGATGACTCCTTCCTGCGCACAGGTGACAGCCAGGACCCCGTCCCTGCGCCACAGCCGTCCCTGCACCAGTCCTCGGCACCCACCTGCAGAGAGGGCCTGTCAGACCATGGCTCACCACCACCTGAGACATGCAGGGCTGGCCTTGCCACGCGGGTCCCCAGGGAATGCAGTGAGGACTCACCAGCCCAGGGGCTCTCGCACTCGTAGAGCATCCAGTGGTCTGCTCGGAAGGGCGCGTGGAACCACATGGAATGGTCGAGGGACACCATGAACTTGATGTGGTACTGCCGGTGCGGGAGCAGGGCCGTGCCCAGGAAGGCATAGTCGGAGATGTAGGCAGCCACGCAGCAGTGCACCTTCATGTCAGTTTCTCCTGCAAAGCAACCGGCACTGCCAGGGGTGGCCGTGGGACAAGGCTGGGCAAGGAAGTGCCAGGGGTGGCCGTGGGACAAGGCTGGGCAGGAAGCGTGAGGCAAAGCCCCAGGAGCTCTGCATCCCCGAGGGCCAGCTGCTGGCCAAGCAAAGCTGAGATGCTTTTCCAGACCTGCTCCCCTTGCTGTGTCCCCGGGGAAAGCCAGCTGTAGCTGAGCGTGGCATACGGGCATTGCTTCATGCTCTGGCACCCATTTCAGCTTTGAAAGCCCCAGGCTTCTCCACAGGCTTGGGGCACAGACAGCCTCTGAATCACAACCCCCTCAGCCCACTCCATCGCGAGTGTGCTCTACAGCGTGAACTTGAGCCCAAGCCTTCAGCTCATAAGGCAGCTGGACCACCCTCCTGGTGGGACCCACCTATGTAGCCTCGTGCTCGCACCCAGAAGAGCTGCTTCGGCTCCTGCGGCTCTGAGCAGAAGATATCTGGCGGGTTCACAGGCTTGATATCAATCGGCACATCTTCGGCTTGAATCTTGTTGAGATGCTTTCTGTATCTCTCTGCCAAGTTAGGATTCCTGCAGACCAATGCAGAGGAGAGAGGTTAATGCCAAGCAGGCTAGGAGCACGTTCTGCTGGCAGCGGCTTCAGCTGCTTCAGCCCTGGACCCAGGGCCACACAGAAAGGCAGGAGGGCCGTGGTTCCTGCACTGTCTTGTCCTGCTTCTATACTTCCCTCTCATGCGTATTTGGGAGCTCCTCAGGCAGTCTCCCCAGGCCCTGCGCCTCCCTAAGCCCCAGCCATAGAGAAGGGTGTCCCTGAGGGTGCCCATTCCACCCCGCTCACTGCAAGAACTTCTGGATGAGCTCCTCTTGCGTCAGCAGCTCCTCAGGGGGTGGTACAGTAGGCATGGTGAACTGGTGCTGCACTGGGCTTCCCTGGGAGAGCTGGAAGGAGGCCTGGCAGGTGAAGATCGGCTTTCCGTGCTGGATGGCCTTTACAGAACGAACAGAGAAGCTCTTCCCTGTACGGGTCCGCTCCACCTCGTACAGCACCGGCACCTTAGGGTCCCCTAGGACAGACAAGGGACGTTCTGCCATTGGGCCACCTACAGAGGCTGAGCACTGGGGCCAGGCAGGCTGAGCCTGCTGTGCTCTGAGCTGGCAGTGCCACCCACACCCTCTGCTGTGCCGGGGGCGGGATGGCAGCACCCGCTCACCCCTGTGAGCCTCAGCCCCAGCTTCCCCAGCCCCTCAACCGCTGGATTCACCGCCTGGCTCCTAGTCCCGCCATAAGCCCCAGCCTCCCCCACCCCCTACACCCTGTCCCCCGACCCTGGGATCAGCAGCCCGCCTTCCCTTCCCGCCCCTCCCCGGTCCCTGCTCCTCTCACCGCGGCTGCCCAGCCCGGTTCCCCCCGGGCCCGGACCCACCTGCCCTCACGAAGTAGCAGTGCAGCGAGTGGACCTGCTCGTCGCGGCTAACGGCGCGGGCGGCCGCCACCAGGGCCTGGCCCACGATCTGCCCGCCGAAGAGGCGCTGCGTAGCGGGCACCCAGTGGTGCCGTCCCCTGCGGGGGAGAAGGCGGCGGCAGTGAAGAAGGTGGCGGTGAGGGAGGCCCGGTCCCGGTGACCCGGCGGCCCCGCGCACCTGAAGAGATCGAGCTCCAGCCGCTCCAGGTTGAGCACGCTGGTGATCAGCACGCTCCTCAGGTCCCCGGGCGGCGGCCGCCCCCCCACCGACTTCGGCCCCGTCCCTGCGCCGGTCCCGTTGCCGTTGCCGTCCCCCGCAGCCGCCATCTCCTCGGCGACCCCGCACCGGCGCCGCTGACAGTAGCAACAACATCCGGTGGGGGAAGTACCGCCCACCCGCGGGGCGGAGAGCCGCCAGCTGATTGGTTTATCGAGGAGTCAGTCATCCGGCTGTGGTAGAACTCTCTGGGCTGGTTGGCTTTCCTCCTGCCAATCAGGAGAGAAAGCCTCTGATTGGTTATATGCATGAGGTGGGCGGTGCCCCAGCTGGTTTAATGCAGGCGGCGGGGAAACAAGGTCCTTTCCCCCGGTGCGGCGGCCGGGGTGGGTGGCGATGGAGTCTGCTGGGCCCGTCCTGCGGCTGGGGTCCGCCTTCAGGAGCTACGAGGATTTCAGGCAGTGCTTCCGCGCCTACGAGCTGGCGCAGGGCTACAACTACGACCTACGGAGCTGCGTCTCTGTCCGCGGCTACAACCGGCAGCACGGCACGGCCGTCCGCAAGGATATCACGTAAGGTCCCCCCGCCGTGTGCGGCCCGGCCCCACCAGGCCGGGGTGGCTCGGTACCTCGCAGTAGCCCCCTGAGGCAGGGCTGCGTGCCCGGTGCGGTTCTCCGGGGGTGCCGGTGCTCCCGGAGGGGGGTCGGGGAAGGGCCCCAGGCAGGAACGGGCTGCCGGTGGTGGAGCAGGCCCCAGGCAGAGCCAGCTCTCAGAGCCCAACGTAGTGCTCTTCCACGGGGCCCGAGCTGTGAACCTCATGAGGTTCAACCAGGCCAAAAGCAGGGTCCTGCACCCGGGTCGGGGCAGCCCCTGGTGTCAGCACAGGCTGGGGTTGAAGGGATGGAGAGCAGCCCCGCCGAGAAGAGTTTGGGGGTCTTGGTGGATGAAAAGCTGGATGTGAGCTACAATGTGTGCTCACAGCCCAGAAACCCCCCCACATTCTGGACTGCGTCCCCAGCAGCATGGTCAGCAGGGAAGGGGGAGGGGAGGATTCTGCCCCTCAGCTCTGGTGAGACCCCCCTGCAGTGCTGTCTCCAGCTCTGGGACCACCAACATCAGAAGCACATGGACCTGTTGTGGGGGGGGGGAGCGGAGCAGAGGAGGCCACAAAAATGATCAGAGGGCTGGAGCACCTGTGCTGTGAGGACAGACTGAAGGAGTTGGGGTTCTTCAGCCTGGAGAAGAGAAGGCTCTGGGGAGACCTCATTGCAGCTTTTCAATACTTAAGAGGGGCTACAGGAAAGGTAGGGACAGACATTTAAGTGGGGCCTGGTGTGATAGGATAAGGGGTAATGGTTTTAAACTAAAAGACAAGATTTAGACTAAATATAAGGAAGAAATTTTTTACAATGAGGGTGATAAAACACTGGCCCAGGTTGCCCAGAGAGATGGCAGATGCTCCATCTCTGGAAACATTCAAGGTCAGGTTGGACACAGCTCTGAGCAACCTGATCTGGTTGAAGATGTTCCTGCTCATTGCAGAGGGGTTGGACTAAATGACCTTTAGAGGTCCTTCCAACCCCAACCATGCTGTGATTCTATAAGCTCTTGTCTGTACCTGGCTGAATGCTTTTATACCCGAGGTATTTGTGGCTTCAGAAAGGTTGATCCTGACAGTGTAATAACCAGCAGTATTCTTCTCTGCAGGTGTATGTCACACACTTGCCATTTTCATAGTCCCAACTGTCACTCTTGCCTCCCCTCTCACTACCTTGCTGTGTCCCAGCCCTCTCATTGTGGTCTCATTCCCCAGCTGGCACTCCACTGTCCTGTGTCTGCTGCTTAGCTCTCTTTAACTCTGCCTTTCAGTTTGACAATTCTCTCTGCTTCTTGTAGCAAAGCCTGTAACTTTGATCTTTGGAACTGCTGGCAAACTATAGCTCCTGCCTTTTTCCGCTCAAGTAGCAGAAGGCTAAATATTGTCAACATTCAGTAGCTGCCCTTTCCTCACTGCAGTGGAAAGGTGTTGTCAGGTTTCCATCTCACAGTATTTGATCCCCAGCCTTTGCTTATCTGGACGGGTCCAGTGATGCCATGAGGCTGTTTTGTTTCCATCCAAGTCAGTGGATCTGCTCCTGTGGCCAAAGGCTGCAAGGTCAGTCTCCAGTTACACAACTGCTCCCCTTGCTGCCTTAAAATATAAACTAATCTCATGCCTTGAAGCCTTTCTTGCTGTGTTCTACCCTGCTCCTCCAGATGCAGAGGAGTTGCAGAAATGGTATGTGCTTTAAGAGAGTAAAACACAAGCAGACAGGTATCAAACTTTTCATTGATGGCTTTGTTTCTGGAGAGCAGAAACGGAGGCATGGCTGGGCACAAGAGCTGGAGCTTCCTGTAGTGTCTGGTTGTGGCTGTTATAACTCAATTCCTTAGTTTCTCTTGTGTTTGAGCTTTCTTACCCCCAGCTTTGCTGAGTAGAAAGCCAGCCCACTTGTCTGGTTGGCATACATGGGTGGGGTTTTTTTGTGCTCACTGATTGAAAATAGAGTTGGTGCACAAGAAAAGTGAAAACTAAATGCTGGCAGCCTACACCACCATTGCTTCCCTCACTAACGCTTTCCCAATGTTTGCAGGTTCATGCAGGTGAAGTTTGGTTGTTCCTGGACCCAAACACACAGCACGAAGAAAAGGAAGGAGCCCATCTCGTGCCCGGCTTATTTTGAATTGCAATATAAGGAGGACATAGACCAGCTTGTGATCAGTGATCTGAACACTAACCATGTCCACTCCGAGACGGTGCTTTCCCTGAACAGAGCTGCTGCTGCTGCGACAGCAAAACTGTGTGAGGAGCAGCAGTGGGGTGGGACCAACAGCGTTGCTGTGGCAGATAAGGACTTGCAGACAGTCGCAGGACAACCGGTGGACGGGGTGACTGCTCCAGCAAAGAAAAATGCCTCAGTGCTTGCCAGGCTGGCTGAGGTCATGAAAACCTTCCTGAGGGTGGACGGGGGGTCACTGGCCTCGGCTAGCACAGACAGCAGCCACAGCCTGGACAGATTCAGCTTCCAGACCAGCAAGATGTACAACTCGTTTGTGAAGTTCCCCAAGAGCCTCCTGCTGCACAGAGTGCTGGACAGGGCGGGACACGTTCTCTACGCTTTCATTGCAGAGACTAAGGAGCGAGTGGGGAAGGTGGTCCACTTGTCACTGCTGAAGGACGACGTGGGACCCAAGTTCCGGAGAGTGCTGACCGTCTTCAAGGAGTTCAACCCTGAGTGGAAAAAGGTGGAGGTTTTTTTTGTGGACATGTCCTTCCGTCACAAAGGCATCCTCAAAGCTTACTTTCCCTCTGCCCAGGTGCTCCCTTCTATCTATCACACAGTCCGACTGCTCAAGGATGTGAAGGAAGAGATGATCTCCTCTTCCTTCAAGCAGAAGTTGAGGCTGGCCTTGCGGAAGGCTTTGTTTGCCCCTTCGGCTGCAAATTGGCATGCCCTGTCCAAGCTGGCGGAGAAGGTGGTCAGCCCGGTGGCGTACAAGTACCTGCAAACCGAGTGGTTCCCCTGCGAGCCGCTGTGGGACATGCACACCGAGAGAGGCCTGCAGTTCTGCAGCACACACATGGCCAGCCTGGACCTCATCACGCTCCGAATATCCAACCTCTTCGGCCGGCAGCCGTCCTTTGAGGCGAGCGTCTTTCCTCTTATGGAGCGTGCAGACTACCTTGATTCCAAAGGCTGGGAAAGCCCGAGCTGGGGTTTCTTGAGCACCAAGGACCTTCAGAGCGGCCTCTGGGAGAAGTCCAAGGTGTGCACCGGTGCTGCAGCAGAACTGGGCCCCGTGTTCTGGGAGAACTGCCCAGCGCTGGGCTGCTGGCTGTGCCCGCAGGAGTGGGAGGTGGTGCGGAGGTCGGCCCCGGTGGTCAGCCCGGTGCTGGGTGGCCTCAGCGTTAGGCTGAAGGAAGATGCCCAAGGGGTGAGCCAGAACTACCAGAGCTGCGCCTGCGGCTTCCACCGCCGCTACCGCCTCCCCTGCAGGCACGTCCTGGCCGTGCTGCAGTCGCACCGGAGGCCGGTGGAGGAAAGCATGGTGTGCAGGCGCTGGCAGAGGAGCTACCGGCAGCTCCTGGTGCCCGGTGCCACCGACCCTCCGGGCTGCAGCGGGGGCTCGGTGGGTGGCCAGCTAGAGGACCAACAACTCCCAGTGCCTGGTGCTGCTGACCCTCCGGGCTGCAGCAGGGCCTCGGTGGGTGGCCAGCTAGAGGCCAGGGAGGAGAGAATCCGGTCCCTCAGCCTCGAGCTGGTCAACCTGCTGATGCAGTGCGACGGGGACGAGCTGGAGGAGCGCGGCTCAGCTCTAATCACTGTCCTGGCCGCCTGGACCCGGTCACCGGGGGAAGCGGCCGGGAATGAGCCGGTATCCCCGCACTACTCCTGGTAACGGGGGGCACCGAGGTGTGCGATGGCGGAGGGGGAGGTCCGGGCCGTTCCCGGCTCTCCGCTCTGTCCATAGCCCGCTCCGGGCAGTGCAGGGTCCCCGCCGCCCCAGCAGCCATCGGCCGGTACCGGCGGCTGGTGGCGGGGTCCGCCGAGCCGCCAGGGGGCGCACGCCAGCATCCCCTGACGTCATGGCGCACCCCACGCTGATTGGTGGCGTCCCCGGCGGGGAGCGGGGCATGCTGGGATATATCCCCCGGTAGTGGCTGGTGGGCGGCATGGATTCCGTCGTCTTGCAGAGCGCCGCCATGTGGGACGTGTTTGCCATCTTCCCTCGGGTGCTGCTGGTGCACCGGGCCGGTGGGCTGGCGGGCCGGACCCTCTACATCTTCCTGGTGGCCGGGCCGGCCCCGGGGCTGGAGTGCGGCATGGCCAGGGTGGTGCATCTCGCCATCCCGCAGGACGAGTCGGCGGGAAGCCTGGCCGACATGTACGGGACGTTCAGGGCCTTCAACCCTGCCTGGGCCGAGACCCAGCTCCTCCTGGTGGACCCCGACTTCCCCCATCCACCAGTTCTCGCCCAGGCTTTTCCCGCAGCGGAGCTGAAGCTCTCCGTCTTCCACCTCTGCAAGCGCCTGGAGCAGCACATCCAGCAGCTGGCCTTGGAGGGCTACACTGAGTACCTGATCCTGGCCGCCCTGAGGGACACTATGTGTACAGCCACCGAAAGCAGCCGCAGGAAGACGCATGCCCTCCTGAGGGACCTTGTGACACCAGACTTGCTGCCTCAGCACCTCTTTGACTGGCTGCTTGATGAGGAGATCTGGGCCACACACAGGGAGAGGACCTGGGGGGAGAGCAGTAACTACTTTAGGGACCTGGAGACAGTCATCCAGGGGTTAAGCTGGGCTTTCAGTGTTGAGTGCTCTCTGGAGAGCTGCATCACCTCCTTAGCTCAGCACTACCAAAAGTGTGTTTCTGAGAGCCCTTCTGATGCTGTGATGTTCTCCACTGCCCATCCTGATCACCATGCTGCTCAAGCAGATCCCCAGAGCCTGCCTGCTTCGGATCTGCCTCTCGCTCCTCTGGCATGCCAGGGTAAGCCATCTCAGAACCCTGTCCAGACCTCCCTCACTACAGCAGAAGTTCAGCAGCAGCAGCAGCCAGTGGCAGCCTCTCTCACAGCTGATGAGAGTCCCGTCATTCTTCTCCAGAGTCCGCTGGCAGATCCTCAGCTCCCTAGGGCTCTTCAGCATCAGCCAGAAACTCCCCAGGCTCCCCTCCTCCAGGGTGAGCCTGCAAGCCCTCAGTCCTCATTAGATCCTTCACCTCCTGCAGCTGAACTGCAGGCCACAAAAGTCCCAGTGGGTGACAGTGAGGAGGAGATTAACCAAAGGACTGAAGAACTCATCAAGCAGTCTTTGAGAGATATTTGCACGGAACCCGCTGCCAGGCTGTGCCTGAGTAAGTTTGAAGCAGTTCAGAAGTCTGCGCAGCTGATAGATAAGAGCGGTGATGTCCTCAGCGTACAGGTCCTCGAGGATGCTCACAGTGTGGACCTGAGAGGCTGCACTTGCTACTTCAACCAGGCCTTCCAGCTGCCCTGCCGGCACATTCTGGCCGTGCTGACTGTGGACAGGAAGACCTTGCAGCCAGAGGTGCTCAGCAGACAGGAGCAGAAGGGAAGCGATGACCATCAGGCTGAGCAAGACAGTACTGATGGCATCTTGGAGGTCCTGAAGAGCTCCTGGAACGAGTCTTTGAGTAAATCCCTGTTGGTGTCCTTCCTTATAACGGAGACCAGCCGGCTTCTCACCCACTGCAGCGGGGAGGAGTTTGAGCGCAGGTACAGGACCCTCCGGGAGCTGGCTGACAGCTGGATCGGGCCTCACTTGGAGGTAAAGCTCTAGCACTGAGTGGGGGCTGAGCTGGCTGCTCTGTGTGCAGGTCCTCAGGAGCAGCATGTGTGCAGGAGGCATATTCATCACCCCACCGGTGTCCCAGCTTCTCCCTTTACTCCCCTAAGCCTGTCACTCCCTCAGGGCTCAGCATGGAAGGGGCAGTTTTGGGTCCTTTATCTGCTGCACGAGCGTCACTTCTTGCACGGGGCAGCTGAGGAACCGGATTGGGAACTCGAGATTGTGCTAGAACGGGTAACCAGCTGCTGACCTGGCTAACAGGAGACAGGGCTGGGAGCCAACCACGGGTGGTGGGGCGTGGGAGGTGATGGTATAATAACATGTGACAAAATTATTTGATCTGTGGCCAGGGCCTGGAGGTCCTTCCAGCATCCAGCTGCGACGTGTTGTGCAACAAAGCCAATAAATCGGCATTGTATTGCTCAGGAGCCGTGTCTGTCTCTGTTCCAGCTGCGGCCGCCCGTCCCTGCTGACAAGATGGGACAGTGGGGCTTGCTCAGCCCGAGGGATGGGGCAGGGCTTTGGATGGTGCTTCTTGGTGGTCTCATCCCATTGCGGTGCCCTCCAGGGAGCCTGCTTGTCGGGTGGCAGCAGATCCGGAGGGTGGCAATCTCTGCTGCCGGCAGCGCAGCCCGTGGCCTGGAGCCAGAGTTGTTTGTCTGGTTTTACGGCAGCTGCTCTCAATTCCTCAGAAAGGGGAACCCGCCCTCAACAGCTCATGTGCTGGGGGGGGTGGGAGGGATGCTGGGGGTCACAGCAGTGCAAACAAAGCAGCGGTGAGGTGGAGAGCAAAGGCTTTCAACACATGGTGTGGGGGAGGAAAAGATAAAGAGAGGAGCAAACAAGCTCCAGCCCTCGGGCATTGCTCCTGGGCTGGGTGAGCTCCCCATCCCCCTTCACCAGTGAGAACGACTCCAACACCAGCAGCTCCAAAGCCCATTGTGCTGGGACACAGGCTGCATCCTCTGGGACCTGGCTGGGGGCCTTGGGGACCTCACTCGGGGCTGTGGGGGGCTGTGGTTCAGTTGTGATGCCCCAGTCGGTGCTTCCTTCATTAACACTTCGTTTTCAGCAGTTGACCTGTTGCAGAAGTGCAATTACTGTGCAGGTTGGGGATTTCCTCTTGATCGAGGATTTTGTAACATTATCTGATACTATCGAATCTCCCTGACTAAATATAGCGTAGTGTTTCCTAAAAGATCTTTCAGTGAAGTTGGAGCTGCCTGTTTCTCTGCTGCTGCAGAGAGGCCTGGAAGGCCCTGCCTGCTTGGCCCCCTTGGCCATCTCTTCCTGGTTCATGTGGGCACCCCTCTGATTTTTTGAGGGCTCTTCCCTCTGCCTGTTGCTCTGCACAGCTCTGACCTGGGCTCCCTTCCCAGCCCACCACAGGGATGGCAGGAAAACCAGCTGCCATCCCCACTAGCCAGAGGATGAGGGGTCTGGAGGGGGGCCCAGTGCTGACTCCTGGAGCTGGGCACCCTGTGCTGGGCTCTCCTCCTCAGCTGGCGAGGCAGGATAGCAGGACCCTGCGCCAGGTCACCGTGACCATCTCCGTGGTCACAGGCACGTGCCTGAGCAATGGCTGCTGCTAACGCGGCTCCCTGGGTTTCCCTCCGGCGTCCGCCCCGTCCCCCTCCCCGCTGGGAGCACAGGAAATAACTCATCCCCACTCTCAGGGTAAACATCTTTCCCAAGAGCGAAACTGCCTGGCCGGCACGAGCACCCGGCTGCAATTTATCCTCCACGTGAGCATCGGCCCGTACCCTCCCCGTGCTCCACCCGGCCCGGCCCTCGCTCTCATCCACCTGGGCAATCCCAGCTTTGTTCACTGGCCAGGGACAGGTCCCGAGCCCAGGGGGCTTGGGTTCACTCCAGGGGGATCTGCTCCCACCACTGGTTGCTGAAGAGCAGGGAGGTCCCAGCCCCCCTGAGCCCTCCCTTGACAGGACTCTTCCCTCCTTACTGGAGGGCAGCTCCCCTGAAACCGCACAAAATGTCCTGATGTGGAAGGAGATGAAAATCCCCTTGGTCGGGGAATAAAAAACCCAAAGCCACGGCTTCCTCACTGAGATGGGAGGCGGGCAGCACGCCAGCCCCCAGAGCTGCCTTGTGCTGGCCTTGCCCTGCCAAGGACTGGCCTTGTGCCGTGGGGTGCTGATACCGCCGGTGGGGCTGGGTGTCCCGGCTGCGGGGGCTCTGTGGGTCCCGCGGTGCCTGTCCCAGCCAGCCCGGCTCCACCGGCACCCTGGCACGGCGGAGTGCCCGGGGTGAGCACAGCCCCGGTGGCCGTGGGTCAGACAGCACTCCTCGCTCCCCCTGCATGGCTCCGTGTGCCGGCACCCCCACGGCGGGCTCGCTGTCTGGCTGGAAGCGCTTTATTGCTCGCTCTGACCCTTCTACCCACACCCTGGCCCTGCCGCGCTCGTCTGCACGGAGGAAAGTCCCTCTGATGCTCTGTCCCTGCTCTCATGTCAGCCCCTCGGTGGCACATGCCATGCACACCGACACCCCAGGGGTGAGGGCACAGGGGGCAATGTGCCAGCAGGCCCTGGGAGGCCAAAAGGGCAGCTGGGGGTACGGATCCTGCCCAGGCAGCCCACCGGCCATCGCTGGTGGGGCTGTGGGCATGGGGGGCAGCCCGGGGCAGCGCCCTCCACACCTCACTCATGTTTGCAGAAGTTCTTCAGCGGCGGGGGCAGGTCCAGGCCGTCGATGGCCACGCGGTGGACAATGTGCTTCTGGATGACCAGCCGGCAGAGGGTCTGCAGGGAGGGAACTGGAAGAGAACAGAAAGAAGGAGTTGAGCTGGCCGAGTGGCTGGTGATGCTGAGAGCAGAGGGGTGTGGAGGAGACAGGCCACTGAGAAGCACCATGTTTTAGGACAGGGGTGGGTGAACTTGCTCTGCAGCAGGAGCAGGCATCGTCCTGCCCTAGACTTGAGCCGGCTGCTCCGGCTGGGATGGGAACTTGAGGGCCCCAGGCAGTGAAGCTCTGCCCGTTACTAGGAGGAAGGTTGGGAGGACAGTTATGTGCCCAAGCTGTGCGTTACCATGGCTGGTTTGCATTCATTTTCTCTAGAGGCTGTTGGGCAGCTCCCTGAGGTCTCACATGCCCGCCATGTGCTTTCCTTTCATCCTTTCATGTCTGCTTCCACCAGCACTGGTGCCAGGCTGCCGGGTGGGCGCCTGCAGGCCTGGCCTGAGGAGACACCTCCCATGACACCTTTGGGACAACCATCTTCTGTCCACCATGGTGGACAACCACCGTTCCCATGGCCGCCCGCACAGGCTCTGCCTGGTTCCTGCTACTGTGACACGCACCCCTGTGGGATTCCTCTTTCCAGAGCCCTCGGTGGCTCTGCAGCATGGGTGCAACTAGCTGCAGCCGGGGCTCTCCTCAGATTTTAAACGAGAGCTGACTCAAGCCTGCAGGGCCTTGGTTCATCCTCTGCCTCCCGGAGCCAAACCGGAGGAGGGCTGCGGCTGGGACCCGGCCATTTCCCCCGCACACGGCTCAGCACCTCTCCGGCTGCAGGGCTACTGCCTCTGAGGGCTCGTGCCGAGCACCACCACAGGGTGCCCAGCCGTCTCCCGACCTCGGGGCTGTTTTCGGATGGCTGGAGTGCTTATCTCAACCTTGGTGGCGCGGGGCTGTCTTGTGCCGAGTGCTGGGTGACGGGTGGCAGATGCCCTTTGCCTCTCCCGTCCCCATCCCCCTGTGCTGTGTGTCGTGTCACCAGCAGCTCAGCTGCTCACTTCTCCTTTTCGCTTCACCAACCAGACCCCGGCCAGAAGTAGAACTGCACCGAGACTTGATTTTTACACCCTGCAGAAGTGTTGCAGAAGAGGGACCTACTGAAGCCTTAGTGGAGGGAAGGAAGCCAGACTGTGCCTCCGCAGCAGTGCCTGTGCCAGCCGCAGCGTTTGCGGGTACCCAGGGCCTGTGGCCGCGGCAGAAGGAGCAGCTTTCCCAGAGGTAGGTGGTGCCAGCGCGAGTTCCTCACTTGGCCGGGGACAGGCCCTCCGAGGTGGCTCAGAGGCCTCCTGCAGTGTGTTCCAGCTGGTCACCCTCAGCACGCTCCCGGGACAGGGGGGCCTGGGTGGGCGTATTTAACCTTCCCGTTTGGATAATCCATCCACAACCTCGGGCAGGGAGATTCCCCCATCCCAGCCTTGAGACAGAAGCAGCTGAACTTTGCACCAGCGGGAGGAGCGGTGGCTCCCGGCGGTCCGGGGCAGGAGTCACCCAGGCGCTGGCTTTCCTTCTGCCTCTTCTCTCACCTCATTCTCAGCATCTCCTCATTTCCCCAGCAAGGTGCTAATTAGCGTTAATGAGCCTGACACCTCACAAGACCCAGCAGCCAGGTACTCCTCCCCAGCCAGCCGAGGGATGATGGCTATTTATTGCCCAATCTCCGATGGCATCACGGGGTGTCTGCTCAGGGCACCCTGCAGCGGGGGCACGAGGCAGGCACCCGGGGGGTGACGTGTGTGCCAGGGTGAGCATTGGGGTGCAGCCGGATGTTTTGATGCCAAAGCAGGCCGTTGCCTGGCTGTGGGCTGCCGTGTGCCCATGGGGTGAGGCTGGGCATGACGGGGGCTCGCCAGCCCTCGAGACAACAGCCCCAAAAACCCACCCCCTCATCGCTCTGCTCAGGAAGGGCGACCAGGCTGGGCTCTTCCCCGACCACCACGGCAGAGATTTTGGGAGACACCACCCATCAGTAGAGTGTGGGGTCTCGCCCACGCTCTGCATGGCTGGGGGCTCTCCTCTGCCTTCTACCCCATGTCCCTCAGCCTCATGGCACTCTGACTCTCCCACTGTTGGGGACTAGGGGGTGACCCCACCAGAGCCCCCCCTCGCAAGGTCCTGGCCTGTGGAGGACGTGCCCCAGGGAGGGGGCAGGTACCTACAGCCGTAATCCACTGGGATGACCCGGACGCTCTTGGTGGAGGCGAAGACGTCGACCACGGCGTAGAGCGGGCGGGTGGTGGGCAGGTGCCTGGCGCTCGGCCCCATGTCCTCTCCATTGATGATGATGTGCATGTCGGCGGTGCCGTCGGGCTGGGGGGCGTAGAGCACGCCGATGCGGCTGCGGCGGGCGGTGGCGGGCAGCACGTTCATCTTGTAGAGGTCATCCAAGATGTGGCTGTAGCGCCCGGGCCTGCTGCGCCCCACCAGCGTGTCGCGGGGGATCCTCACCCGCTCGATCAGCAGGAAGGGCTCCCACGGGGAACCCTGCACCCGCACCCGCGCCTCCTCCCCGTCCTCCGTCACCCGGTTGTGGCTGCGGGTGATGGCGAACACCCAGGTGTCCCCCATGTTGACCAGGTCCGGCAGGGAGTACTCGGGGACCACCTCCAGGCTCTGGGGGTCGTGGGCCGTCAGCCCCACGCGCAGGTGGCCGCACCAGCCCAGCTCCTTCTCCTCGATCTCCACCAGGAAGATCTGCCCGGGGGCCAGGGGCTCCTGGCTGAAGCAGAGCCCGTTGGCGAAGCTCTCCACCCGGGTGGCCCGCGTGCGCGAGGCGTCCAGGCGGACGTTGGCGCCGTGGACGGGGTGGAAGCGGGCGGCCAGGCGGCACCGGGACGCCATCGTCGACACACCGCTATTTTTAACTGTCCCCCCGCCTTGGTCGCAGCTGTCGCCGGGCAGTGACGGCCCCTCTGGGCACTCGGCGGTCCTAGTGACGCAGGGGAGGGCAGGAGGGGACACCGGGGTGACAGGGGACCCCGCGACTGCTGGGTCACGGCCGGGCCACACCGGGCTCTCCAGGCCACCCAGTGCTGCCCGTGGCGGTGCCCGGTGTCACCCAGCTGGCACCCAGCCATCCCCGTTGTGACCGGTGGCACCTGGAAGTGCCCGCTGGTGGCCACCGGGACACTGCACCCCCCACACCGTGTCTGAGGGGTCACACCGGGGGTCGGTTCCCCGCACCGCGGGCACGGTGTGTGTATGGGGGGGGGGTCCTGCGTGGTGTTCCCGGGGCAGGGCACCCCCCCCCCCCCCCGCCTGCAGCCCCCCACGGCGGGTCCCGTCCCGCCAGCCGGGGCCGCTCCCACGTGCGCGCGCGGTACCGGGGCAATCACCGGCCGCCCCCGGGGCGCTGGTTGGTCACCGGGCGGCCCCGCCCCGCTCACGTGAGCACCGGAGGTCATATGGGCGGGTGTCATGTGCCCGCCGGGAACCCCGCCGCCGCCTGCGAGAGCCGCGCTGGGA